TGCCCTTTCTGTTGTAAAACAGTAAGATATGTCGAAAATGCTGTTGATCGCTCTCCATATTTAAAAGGGCACCAACCAAAAACTACTGCGTAGAATTAATTGATATTTTTCACACACAAGCCTTGCTATATGAGCTCTCAAACCATTAAAAATTATACGGTTCAAGTGTGAACTGGGTGCAAAAAAATACAATTAGTCCTCTGCCAGAAAAAAACGAAATTACTTTCCGAACAACCTAATATTTAAATTGTAACTAACACTACGAAGAACAATCTGAATTAAACATTATTAATCAGATAATCCACAGCTGACGTTTACAGCTTCACCGACCGATAGGGAACGAAAGCAGATGGCTCTCCAAACCGGATGGACTTATGGAGCGGCTGATAGCCAACTTCATATCTTTAGTTACGTTTTGTCCGTCCGTATAAATCCGTTATATAGAGATTATTCGCAATGTAAAGGTATATTTTACATTGACTCTTATAGATAATATAAGGATTTCAAAGAATTGATTAAATCGAAGAAGTCGTTATATTGAAGTGCACTGTAAGTCAATATTTAGGTACGTTTCAGTTTTGTACAAAAACATTTCTATTTGCATCGTTACGTGACGTGTGAAAATGTAAACTTGTTCAAACATGTTCGCTGGTTTCAATGATATGGTTTATAGTAGATATATACGTATTATCTGATAATTTATACATTCAGCATTTAATGTTGCCAACCTTAGATGTTTTACAATTTATTTGGTTGATTTAACCCAGCCTTGGTTTTATTTACACTGTACACGCGTCTTCGTCCTCGTGGAACTTTATTTTTCTAAAATAAGAGAATTTTTCTAAAACAAACGCAGCCAAGTTACTCTTTATTACATCAGCTACCTGCCATAAAAGTCCCGTTAAAATCAGTCTAGCCATTTCAGAGATTAGCCGGAACAAACAGACAGACATAAATTGTAAAAAATGATATTTTGTAGAAATAATTTTAAGTTATTTCATCAAAAACATTATCGTTTTACAAACACATCTATTTTATAATCAGCTTTTATACGACATTTCAATATTTCTGAGGCAGATTTAGAACAGACTGGTATTTTCTTGTAAAACCTTAAGCAATTGTCATAAAACAAATTATCTAACTAACTTTATTTAAACGGGATTTAGGTAAAATCAGTTTGTTATTATTACGTAACCTTTTAGTAGTGGAGCTTTTATTAGTCGCCACCCAAAATCACGAGAAACAACACAAGACCAGTACGCAACATATTTTTAAATATAAAAATAAATGACTCGTCATCACAGACTCTAAAAAAAGGAATTCAGATCAATTACTTGCTTCTCAATTGAATCTGTACTGAACTGGACGGTAGGCAAAATAATTTTAGTACAAAATATTGACTTTCATAAACGGTTAAAATGTCCTACATGAATATATTTTTAGAAATAAAGAAATGAGCCTAAGAAGTCAAAGATCTAGAGATAGAATGAAGCTGTACATACATGGAACAAAATTAAGTATGGTCAAAAATAATGTCTTCCATATGGCGATAAAAATCTGAATACTATATATATAACTCAAAGGTGACTGACAGTGAGCTATCAACGCCCAGCCCAAACCACTGGACGGATCGGGCTGAAATATGGCATGCAGGTAGTTGTTATGACGTAGGCATCCGCTAAGAAAGGATTTTGATTAATTCTACCCCCACGGGGATAAAATAGGGGATGAAAGTTTGTATGAAACTTTGTCTATTTCAAACCGATCGGGCTGAGACTTTGCATGCATAAAGCTACTATGACGTAGGCATCCCCTAAGAAAGGATTTTGATAAATTCCACCCCTAAGGGGATAAATTAACGCGAGCGAAGCCGCGGGCAAAAGCTAGTATTTATATATTTTGCATGCCTAATGAGGCAAAACATAATGGGACATTATATTACAATAACAACAACGTAAACCTATGTTTAGTGCAAATAAATTTGATTTAGGTTTTGCTGAAATTAAAAAACTCGAACAATAATTTTTAATATTGGCTCAGAGTCAGAGATGGGTAGACATAAAACTCGGGTGACGCAAGTACAAATAAGCTAGGTTTTTTACCGGTGTGTCGTTTACATACCAGGTACAATATTGCGCGTTTATTCTTATTCTTAAAAATGATTTTATTCTTATATTCATAAAAATTATTTATTCTTACATATGAATGTGGATGGTTATAAGGGTAGAGGAAGACCGAAAAAGAGATGGATGGACTGTGTGAAAGATGATATGGTGAGAAAGGGAGTAAATAACGGAATGACTGCGAACAGAGATGAATGGAAGAGGAAAACATATTACGCCGACCCCAAATAAATGGGATAAGGAAGAAGCAGATGATGATTCTTATTCTTAAAAACTCGACCTTGACAGATCGAAATTTTTTTGAGTGGTAAACGATGGAGGCCCATACGCTACCATCGATGAAATTTTGATATCGATAGATCTAACAGTTTCGGACGAGTTTCGATACAAAGAGTGCAAGTCTGATCTCTAAGATCGCACCGTTAAAAAAAAACTACTTGACCACAAAATTATTTTACTATTCTATAAAATTAAAGTAAATAATGAATTATTTTTATTCAGAAACTATTCTACGACATTTTTAAGTTACAATATTCAAATTATTACCGGTTTTATTAATATGCTTATATATGAATATAAATAAAATTCCAGTCTGTTTGTATTATTAAAAAAAACCGTTTTTTTACTACATGCATATGAATATAAATACGGTACATACACCAAAATAACATTTTTTACATTTTTTTTTGTCTGTTTTTCCGGTTTATCTCTGAAATGGCTGGACCGAATTTGATGGGACTTTTTGGCAGGTAGCTGATGTAATAAGGAGTAACTTAGGGTGCTTTTATTTTAGAAAAATAAAGTTAAATTCCACGCGGACGAAGTTGCGGCAACAGTTAGTTGATTATAATCTATTATATCAGCCAGTAAGTGCGGTTCACAAATTTAATTGGCAACACAGCATGCGCTAATTACGCCTACATGTAATTAACGTAATTAGCCTTGGAATTCGTACCATACGTACTGATACAAACGAATGTCTGTCTATCGCATGTTATCTTTTAAACTCTACTTATAAACGACTGAATAATTTAACTGTAAGATAAATATATGCTGTAGATACTTACTACAAGGATAAATAACAGCCTATTTGTCTGTTATTTATCTAATAGAAAAGTTTCGAGCTTAACGTTAACTATACGACTAGTCTGAGGGCACCACTAGGGGGTTCCAACTTCGGCTCAGGGCGTCGTAATATCGATCCCCGTTTGAATTGGACGGGGGATCGATCGGAGGGGAAAATACATTACATCAGTAACCCGAGTGCTCAATTCGAAGTCGTTTTACACCGAACTTAAATCTATATTATCTGGACACGTAGACTAATTGAAGGGTCTTAAGTGTTGATATAATTCTTATATTATTGTATACTTTGGTCACGTCTGAATTACGTTATAGGGAGTGTCAAAATCGTTGAAATATAATATTATCGATATCGATATAAAAATATTTCTTGTTAAGTATGTACTTAATAATCTATACATATAAATAAAATTGGAGTGTCTGTTTGTAATATTGAAATAACTGTTCTTTACTACATGCATATGAATATATATACGGTACATACACCAAAATAACATTTTTTATAATTTTTGTTTGTCTGTTTGTCTGTCTGTCGGTCTGTTTGTTCCGGCTAATCTCTGAAATGGCCAGACCGATTTTGACGTGACTTTTTTTGGCAGGTAGCTGATGTAATAAGGAGTAATTTAGGCTACTTTTATTTTAGAAAAATAAAGTTAAATTCCACGCGGACGAAGTCGTCGGGAAGTCGGGAACAGCTAGTGATTTCCTAAAATGTGCGTGTCGTAATAAAAATATGTTTACATGGGTGATACAAGGGTGAAGACTTCAAAACGGCAAACTTAGATGTACCAGTTTTCAGCTAATACAAAATAAGAAAGGGACATCAACAGCGGGTAGTACAATACAAAAGCTACACAAAAAATAAATAAACGACTACAAAACAAATTTATTATAATAATTTCATAATACATTTATACATGTAATGCATATTATATAAATTATATAATAACAAAATCCGTTTTTAGCCTGTATTATTTTAATGGATTACATGTTCTTTGGTTGAAATTTAGTGGCGCGTTCAACTACTCCATTACTGTATACAATGAACTTGAGTTGTCGCGAATACTCTCTATTATTTGGTATTCGGCATTACTCGACATTTTTTTTTTGTTATTCGTCTAATACCGATTAATAGCCAGTATTACTCGACATTCGGCGAATAATCGTCTAAAATAAACTTTGAAGGAACAAAGACAACACGAGGTATCCCCCGTAAAATAGGTATAAGAAAAGGGTTGCCAGCATTTAATGAAAAATTACTACCAATATTATGATATGAAACTGATTTCTTTAACTTTATTGTTTTCTTTTCTGATAACCTTAGAAAAAACATGGTTACAATAACAAATAAATGTGCGGTAAGTTCAAGAGTACCATGTACAAGCGTGATATTATTATTTAATAACAATAAAAAATATTTTTAATATTCCTTGATTATGTCGAATAATAATGGTGAGTTTTTCGACTATTCACCAAAGTGAATGGCGATTAATCGGTATTCGACTATTCGCTATAATTTCTACTGTCTGTGTGTATTACGTATCCTACTGTAGTGTAGGTTAATACATTAATATATTGTTAATACATTGTTGTCCTGTAATCCTGGTAATTTAGAAGAAATTAAAAGCAAAGATACAATGTATTTTATCTTACTGTCTATCTTGCTGTATTTCTACTTACTGTCATTTACAAACATAGATAATATTAAACATGAATAATTATAATAACATACGCATAACAAAAAGTAATTAAAAAGCCCCAACAACGATCTATTACAATTCTACAAAGACATACCCGTTTCTTTGCCCTGTACGCTCAGCACAGTTTCCGTTGAAGTACGTCTGAAGTATTTGTTATCTGAGAACAAAGCAACATATCAATTAACAATACTCACTTTTGGGGGGGGGTTTATTAGTAATGTGGACAAATAAACCCCATTACTAATGTGCCATGTTGCATGCGGTTCCTGGAAACAATCGTGGTAAATTGCCATTTTGCCAACGTGGGCTAGCTGACCTGACTGCATACTCATTTCATCATCGCCCTGGTGCCTTAGCAGCGTAAACCGTTAGCGCAGACGGATGCATCATTTCATAATAATAATAATAATAATAATAATAATAATAATTTATTTATTTGCCTGCTACATGGTAATTTTGATCTTACAATATAATATAAGTACATGACATGCAGCACCCCGTAGAGGTATGCAAATATTGAAAATGATATCATAATTACAATATGTCATTAAATTTAATTAAAACATTATAATAGGTACCACAATAAAATAATAAATGTCACAGTATTCCACTAATGTGTATGTTGTATGTTGTATGATGTGTATGTTCATTATCTTAAAGTACTTACTGTTTATTTATTTACTTGTTTACAACGATATTCAATATTTCTCTGCCAATACTGATCCAAATCGTAAGGGTTTTCAAGTATTTAGTGTAGTAGTATAGTCTACATTCTTTATTTATATAGTGACGTCATTACACAATAACATTGTCGAGTTTATGACTCGTATTAAGTCGTTTACTCTGGTCACGGTTTCGTAAAAAATTATAGCCGTCGACAATGTATCGATATATATATATATATATACACGTCACATCACTACCTTTACGCGAATGTCTCGTTACCATTTGTTCATAATAGAAAAAAATTGATTAATGATGCATAATTAATATCTTGATCGCGGTCATTCACCTTATAATCCTCGAAATATATTTGTAACTAGCTGTAATAGACAACAAAGTGACTTATTTAAGTTACGCGCGCAGTTCCGCATGCGCGCTGCCTATACAATATATTTCTATACGTATACAGCCATAGATCGTTTATTTCATGCTTAGGTTTTTTTAAATATATAACAAATAAATATGATAAACAACTTAAAAATACGCCAAATCTAGCATAAAACATACTAAACTGGCAATACTAGCTGTAAGTACTCTCGTGCTCGTTAGGCCTCGGACTGTCTCGCAGAGAGTGAACTACCGTCATCAAACGTCTAAACAAATTCAATTTATGCCGTTTCTTTTATTATATATATATAAAACTTCCTCTTGAATCAGGATCAATCACTTAAAAAAAAACGGTATCAAAATCCGTCGCGTAGTTTTAAAAATTTAAGCAGACATTGGGATAGACAGCGACAGCAACCTTGTTTAATACTATGTAATATATCAATATGCTAAGCAACAAGTTTCTTGCTCATTCTTCTTGTGAGGAATCTGCATTCCGAATGAGTGGTAGAATCAAAATATGACTATTCAAAAGTGCTTGTAATGAGTTTATTTGAATAAAGATTATTTCTATTTCTATTTCAACTTAAAAATATGCCAAATCTAGCATAAAATGGCAACACTGGCTGCAAAGTACACCCTCGCACTCGTTAAGCCCCCGCATGTCTCGCCGAGAGAAAACAGCCGTCATCACACATCAAACAAATTTAATTTATGCCTATATTGTTGATAGAAACGCATCTTTTATTTATACACTATCTTTGTTAGGTGTATATACGGCCTCCTCACCGATTACGATTTTCTAATAGTTTCGTTGTCAAATATTGTAAATAATTATATGTCATTATTGTAAAAAATATTATAAGAAAAGACAATACAATTCTTCTGCTGCAAACGTACATATTTATTGTTTATCATCTCACATACCATCTCAACAAAAAAGAACCACAACAGTCTTGTCCATACGGAAACTAGGCATCAGATATTATTGCTACTAGGTATTGGTATGTAGTAAAAATTTATTGAATACTACCAATTACATTAAAAGTCAGTGGGCAAAGCGAGGTTGAATATATTTCATAAGCGTTAGTAAACTAACATAATATGGATGGATATCCGAAATAAAGAATCTAAATATATATAACTCAAAGGTGACTGACATAGTGATCTATCGACGCACGGCCCAAACCACTGGACGGATCGGGCTGAAATTTGGCATACAGGTAGATGTTATGACGTAGGCATCCGCTAAGAAAGGATTTTGATTAATTCTACCCCCAAGGGGATAAAATAGGGGATGAAAGTTTGTATGAAACTTTGTCAATTTTAAATCGATCGGGCTGTGACTTTGCATGTATAAAGCTACTATGACGTAGGCATCTCCTAAGAAAGGATTTTGATAAATTCCACCCCTAAGGGGACAAATTAATGCGAGCGAAGCCGCAGACAAAAGCTACTTAAATATAAATACAAATAAATTAAAGCAGATATAGAATGAGCAATATTCAGGATCGTACGTATTTTAAGATATTAAAATTATCTTGTCAGTGCCGAAAACAACAACAGATGTTTTAAATAAATTTAACCTTCAATGACAGTGTAAAGTATTATAACAATAGCTGTTTAATCGTCTTTGGTAATTTAGTTTACATAGTTGTCACTAGATGGCGCTATTTAATTTCTACAACGCAATATTGTTTCGTTTAGTAGTGACTGACGCGTTGTAAGATTGATGGTTGGTTGGCGGCTTTTTGATCAGTTGACATTAATGTATATATTGTTGTTTTATTGTGAAAATTACTATCCCATTACACTTGTGTTGAAAATTAAAGTGTTTTTATTCTCCTGACATTCATTAAAGTTATGGAAATGTACTATTGAAGCAACGGCGAGTGTACAATAGCTGTACCCGCGACTTCGTCCGCGTGGAATTTAACTTTATTTTTATAAAATAAAAATAGCCTAAGTTACTCCTTATTACATGAGCTACCTGCCAAAAGACCCGTTAAAATCGGTCCATCCATTTCAGAGATTAGCCGGAACAAACCGACAGACAGACAAAAATTGTAAAGTGTTATTTTGGTGCATGTACCGTATTTATATTCATATGCATGTAGTAAAAAACGGTTATTTCAATATTACAAACAGACACTCCAATTTTATTTATATGTATAGATAAACGGGGAATTTCCCAAGTATTGTACAACTGCTGTTAAAGATTATTAGTTACCGTATCCATATAATTGTTATTGTCTATTATAATATCATTAGCGTATTTGTTATCAGTCTGCGGTGTAACGTCGAGGCCATTAGACGTTGTTCGGGATAAAATATCGTCATGTTTTTCTGTTAAAATAGAAAATCTAATTGTACTCAAATACTACTACAGTCTGATTCTACTTGTTGATTTAACCTTCAATGACAGTGTAAAATATTATATCAGATAACCGGGGAATCTCCCTAGTATTGTGCAACTGCTGTAACAGATTATTAGTTACCGTATCTGTAGAACTGTTATTCTCTGTTAAAATATCGTTAGCGTATTGTCATCAGTCTGCGGTGTAACGTCGAGGCCATTAGACGTTGTTCGGGATAAAATATCGTCATGTTTTTCTGTTAAAATAGATAATCGAATTGTACTGGATTACTACGATAGTCTGATTCTACTTGTTGATTTAACCTTCAATGACAGTGTAAAATATTATATCAGATAACCGGGGAATCTCCCTAGTATTGTGCAACTGCTGTAACAGATTATTAGTTACCGTATCTGTATAACTGTTATTCTCTGTTAAAATATCGTTAGCGTATTGTCATCAGTCTGCGGTGTAACGTCGAAGCCATTAGACGTCGTCGGGGTATATTAAATAAAGGTGCATAATATCTTCATGTTTTTCTGTTAACCCTTAATTCGACGGAGATATTTGTAGCAAAAGAAACAGATTTTTGTTTAGTGGTCATATTTTTGGATTTGAAGTAAGTACAGGAAAAATGCTAAAAAAATTAGTGCAGTTTTTGATAAAACTCTTGTCCGTCACAGCGGACATTGTCACATGTATTTTTCTCAAAACTTACATAGTTTCAGTAGATTTCTTTAAATTGTTCGTCACGCTGGACGCTATCGAATTAAGTGTTAAAATCTAATTGTACTAGATTACGACGATAGTCTGATTATACTGTTTATTAGTAGTTTACTACGTAAGTACATTTCTGAACAAAATTGTGATACGTCAGCGAGGTACGGATTACGGATGTGAAAAATAATCGATTATTTAAAAAATCTACTATTACTCAATCGACCATATCGAGTGAGGATCGAAATGTGAATGATAATAAAATAGAAATAGCCGCTAATGGTTTACTCCTAGTGTTAGTGTAATAGGAGTGCTAGAGACAACTAAAGTTATGAGAATTAATTTTGTTCACTTTTTAAATTAAATGAAATCAAAAATTATTTATTCATTTTAATTACTTATGGGCGTTATTGTTTTGGTATTAATATGTCGTTCCTATCCAGTTCAGTATACAGATTCGATTTCGAAGTACTGACAAGAAACTCAAGTGTTGTTTAAAGCCAGTTTATTTAGATTATTAGTAGTTTATGTAGATTATTAGTCATATACATGAGTAAACTCATGTATATGACTAATATTAAAGGAAAATTACGTCCATGATCAACTATTGCCATACTTGTTTGTCATTAATAATTGTTTAGTGAGTAATAGGAATTTCTCAGGATCTAGACCAGAGGTTCCAAAACCTTTTTGTGTCGTAGACCCTTGCCATATTTTTCGGTTTCGGGTAGACCATTCTTACCTGGTATTGATTTTTTGTAAATTTCTAACTGTAGTAAAGTTTAGTGTTATAAATATAAAGTAACGGATGACGGCGGCTGTCGTAGACCCCTTGAAATTTGTCATAGACCCATGGGGGCCGATAGACCATTTTGGGAATCACTGATTTAGCTGATCTTAGACCATTGTGAAGAATATTTTGGGAATGAACCACGCTTTGTTGATCTGCCTCCTTGGCGTGATAGAGATGAAACAGATATCCAATATCTAAATATACTATTCAGCCAGATACCGATTAGTATCAACATCTGGT